TCAATAATGAAAATAAAAAATGGAAAATGGAATGAAAATTAGAAAAGGTGAAAAAGGGCAATCTGGTCAATTTGCAACCCAAAATGGCTAGATTTCATCTTTTTACAAAAAATGGCCATATTTCATTTTGTCTTTTGCTAAAGTGCTATAAAGCACCATTAGCACGAAAAAAAAACCAATATCATTATCTTTACACTTTACATGAAACTCAAATTTTTTCCAGGTTTTCAACATTGTCCCACATTCTTGTCCTTATTAAAATATATTTAAATTTAAGCGTAGTAGGTAAACAATAAAATAATATATATATATAGACATAATTTCCTTAACCATCACAATTCACTTCCACTATCCAACTTCTTTTTCTTCTGCCACCAATTTCGTTTACTTTTTCTCCCTAGCCACCATACTCCGCCGCGCAACGCCGTCCACATGCCGTCGATTCCCGGAAAGCTCGTCTGTGTCACCGGCGCCGGTGGCTTCGTCGCCTCATGGCTCGTCAAGCTCCTCCTCGAGAGAGGCTACACGGTCAGAGGGACTGTTAGAAATCCAGGTGAACATAAACATTTCGTTTTTTTTTTTTCATTTTATTTTTATTTTGGGGAAATTTGTTAAAGATTTTTTTTTTTAGTTATTTATTTATTTATTTATTTATTTATTTTTGTGTAGATGATCCGAAAAACTCACATTTGAGAGAGATGGAAGGCGCGGAGGAGAGGCTGATTCTGTGCAGGGCTGATCTTACGGATTACGAGAGTTTGCGGGAGGCCATCAACGGCTGTGATGGCGTCTTCCATACAGCCTCTCCGGTTACTGATGATCCAGTGAGTACATTTACTTTGTCTTAGAGATTGTGAACAAATATTGATGATTATATTTGTAAGAAACTGGGGGAAAAGGAAAGCCCATATGAAGCCCAAATGAGGTTCCATCCCAAAACCAATTAGTGAAAGGAGGAGTAGCCCATTAGACTTATAAGGTGGGTCTATTTTCTATGTGTGAACGATGTGGGACAACTCACAAGTGATATTCTAACAATATTTATAGAAAATATTACGGTCCCATTACGGAATCATTTGTAACCGTAAATCAACTGTCTCTGACAGTTACATGATGATCTAGCGGTTACAAACGTTGACGGAAATGATTCCATAACGGGAATGTAACATCTCCATAGTTAATGTTGCAATAAAATTAAGATAAGTATATGACAGCTAATTTTAATTTTAATTGTATATGATGCTACATTTATAGTCTAAATAAGTCTTATTTTGTTATTTATCTAGATAAGTCTCAAGGCAAGGCTAAAAAAAAAAAAATTGAAAGGGAAATTATAGAAAAATGTTGGTGAGAAACTTGATTTTAGTAATTTTTTAGTCTTTCGTGTGGATTGTTCTAGAAAAATGATCTTTCGTAGTCTTATAATATTCATATTAAAAATTAAAAAGAAGTCAAGAAAATATATATACATTTTATTATTATTATTATTATTATTATTATTATTATTATTATTATTATTATTATTATTATTATTATTATTATCATTATTATTATTATTTTGCTAAACAATACAAAGGCAAAGAGAGTTGGTTTAGGCCATGCTTGCAATTGACGTAAATTAAAGTCCAAGTAATAATTAATGCAACTGGAAAATGACCTTTGGAGGAAGTTAGGACAAACTGAACTTTGAAAAATTTTCAAATACATTTCAACATCTAACTTGATAATATGCCTAATTTTATATATTAATTACACATATTAACGTAACATTTGTCGTCCTAATTAACATTAACGTAACATTAAACCATTACTTAAGACATTTTTTTTAATCGTTAAATAAATTTGTATTGATCAAAATTGAAAGTCATACAACCGAGGCCGCTTTTAAGAGCGTAGTCATCAACATCAACATCAACATACCCAATATATTCCCAAACAGGTTGGGGTCTGGGGGTCAGTTGTACGCAGACCTTACCCTTGTAATTATGCAAGGAGGCTGTTTCCATAGCGATCCAAGGTGCGTTGCGTCGTTTCATATATTTTTCCTAGAAACTTCACTAATAGAAGAAGCACTAGAATTTAATTGAGTCATTTTGATCTAGTCCATTATTTGCACGATGTCAGAAGAATTGTCAACACTGACTCTTCTAGCTCCATTTGCAATGGACTCGCTTTTAAGAGCGTAGTGACAGAACAAAAATAACGAGGACAATGTTCTCCTCCAACCAAAATCTTCTAAGTGCTCAAGCACTTGGCATCAACCATCCCCAAAAATTATCAAAATTTTATACTTCAACGCTACTTAAGACACACTTTGTCATAATTTTGTGGCATTCCTTGCAACTTACCTAACATTTGGTAAAATATTGAAAACTTTAATTTTATGTATTGTGTAAATTAAGGAACAAATGATTGAGCCTGCGGTGAAGGGGGCCAAACATGTGGTACGCGCGGCTACGGAAGCTAAAGTCCGCCGTGTGGTGTTTACCTCGTCCATCGGCGCTATTTACATGGATCCTAACAGAGATCCCGATAAAGTTGTTGACGAGAGTTGCTGGAGTGACCTCGAGTTCTGCAAGAACACTAAGGTTTGTGCGTTCGACTCTCACTCAAACAAAAATACAAAATGAAAAACGAATATTTTGTGAGGTAAAAGTTAATGCTGTTAGATTTTAGGTATCTAAAATCTAACAATATGGGGTGCCCGGATGAATGTAGTATTTTTACAAATCTAAGGAGCTACTTGGAAATTGTATTATATTTTTCTTAGGGAAGAATTTGATGTCCCTCAAATTACAGCATCCGTATTCCATACTATTAGTTTAATCACCAACTACAATTTTTATCCTCTGCGTCATTTCACTAAATATCTCTTCGATTAAACGTCTTTTCACATTTGTTGAATAATTTAAATGCTCGGATCCACTTTCTCTAATTTAAAATAATATTCAATCCATTGGAATGAATATGAATGAATATGTGGGGCCCACTTTATATTATCTTCTAGATGTCATTCAATCCATTAAAACCATCTTTATTGGTGACCCATAAGTTGGGTCACCAAGAAAAAGACAAAAAAAAAAAAAAAAAAAAAAAAA